GATTAGGTCATGGTAAGAGTTAGGGTTAGGGTTAGGGTGAAGGTTAGGGTTAACTTTAGCCTTAGTTTTAGGGTCAGGGTTAGGGTTGGGATAGGGTTTGGATAAGGTTAGGGTGAAGTTAGGGGTAGAGTTAGGGTGAGGGTTAGTGTAAGGTTAGGGTTTGGATTATGTTATGGTGAGAGTTAGCTTTAGCATTAGGGTGAGGGATACGGTTAGAGTTACGGTTAGAGTTAGGGATAGGTTTAAGGTTACTTTTAGGATTAGGGTTAGGGTTAGGTTCTGGATTAGGGTTAGGTTTAGGGTTTGGATTAGGCGAGGGTGAGAGTTAGGGGTAGGGTTACGGTGAGGGTGTAGGTAGAGTTAGGGTGAGGGTTAGTGTAGGGTTAGGGATTGGAGAGTTAGGGTTAGCTTTAGTGTGAGGGTTAGGGTTAGTTTTAGTGTTAGTGTTAGAGTGAGGGATATGGTTAGGGTTAGGGTTAGGGTTAGGGTTTGCATTTGCGTTAGGGTTAGGGTTAGGGTTAGTGTTAGGGTGAGAGTTAAGGATAGGGTTAGATTCAATGCAATGCCAATCAAAATCCCCATGATATTCTTCACAGAATTGGAAAAAAAAATCCTCAGATTCATGTGGAAGCAAAAAAGACCTCGAATAGCCATAGTAACTCTGAGCAAGGAACCATGAGCACTAAGAGCAATGCTCAGGGGATTACTATACCGTATTTTAAACTATATTATAGAGCTATAGTCATAAAAACAACATGGTACTAGCACAAAAATAGACGCATAGATCAATGGAACAAAACTGAAGACCCCAATATGAGTACATGCAATTTCAGCCACCTGATATTTGACAAAGGGGCTAAGAACATTCATTGGAGGAAAGACAGCATGTTCAGCAAATGGTGCAGGCAAAACTGGATCTCCACCTGTAGAAGAATGAAACTAAACACCTATCTTTCACCTTGCACAAAAGTCAATTCCAAATGGATCAAAGACCTCAATGTAAAGCCTGAAACTCTGAAACTGTTAGAAGAAAACATTGGCAAAAACCTACAGGATATAGGTATAGGAAAGGATTCTCTAAACCGGACATCAATTGCTCAAGAAACAAGGTCAAGAATCAACAAATGGGACCTCATTAAACTAAAAATCTTCTGTACATGAAAGGAGGCAACCAGAGAAGTGAAGAAAAAACCCACAGAATGGGAGAAAATCTTCACTAGTGACACATCTGACAGAGGTTTAATATCCAGAATATATAACGAACTCAAAAAACAGAGAATCAAGACAAGAAGTAACCCAATTAAAAGATGGGCTAAGGAGCTGAACAGAGAGTTCTCAAAGTAAGTATCCAGAAGGAGGGGTTAGACAATGCAAGAGATAAATAATGCCTAGTTTTAAAAACCAGAGGGAGCCATATTAGTCCAACAACCTACTGACAAATTATACATACCAGATCAAGAAATGTATGTCTAAGGTAAGGTTTACATGATAACAATTGGTCTTTGACCAAGATTTATCTCCATGACACACAGTAATTAAAAGTACCAGACTAGTAGAACTAACCTCTTGGATGTTTAACAGACATACGTTGAGGCCTATAATAATTTGGTCAGAGGGACATAAAGGACAGGTTTTGCTCCTTGCCCTCCTAGGTCGACTAGTTCCAGGGGACTATAAGCATCTCCCAAAATGTCTTGTAATTGTGGTGGGTTACCTGTCCTCTTGACCAAGGAGGCTGAGGAGACCCCATGATATGGACTTGAATCAGTGTCCAGTCTACAAAGAGGAGGGTCAACACAGAGGAAACAACTCCTCCATGCTTCCAAGAGAACTCAGCCATGGTCGAGCAGGACCTTTGACTTATCTTCACATTGCCTGAACTGGTAAAAGGAAGGAGCCAGGGTCTCCTCCCAAGTCCATGTGACCCCTGAGGAACAGATCCTCAAACGGCCTTAAGAGTACAAATAAATTGGTTTATCTGGGCCAACTGTATGTCCTTAAACACCCAAAAGGAAAGTATAACCAGAGATTAAAGGGGCCAATATAATTTTTTAAGAGTCCATATGTATAGCTAAAGGCTACATAACAAGCAACAATGCCAGACAGGTGATACCTTCTTTTGAGTTGTTGGCCAAGGTGGCCCAATGGACTCCCACATAGTAACCCAGTATAGAACTGGGAAAATGAACAGCAGACCCCAATCTTCTCTAAAGGAATACTGACAACTGACTGCTGCTAGATGAGGAACAGCTGACCTTCATAAAACAAAGACCTCTAGATAGGCTGACTAGAGTCATAAGATGGACAAGTAGTGAGGAATGGCTGTGGGGTACACAGCAGACAGCAGCAGGGATATCAGAGTATAAGGGCTCTAGTGGGGGGAGGGAGGCTATGGGAGGGTGCCATCTGGTCAGTGGGTATATAGTTGAATAAGATGGTTTGGGATGTTCTGTGTGATATACACACACAAAAAAAAATCAACAAACTAAAAGAAATGTATTATATTTGAGGAGGAAGCATAAAAATTTACATCATGTTAATTAGTAGAGGCAATAAACATTACCATTGCAATCTACCCAATGACTTTATAGACCTACACAGGCGCCAAGGATCCGAGTGCAATCGATTATGACTAGTAATAATCAGATACAAACAAATTAGAGACACATGCGCCAACATCTCAGCGTTAGTAGCAAAAACAGTCTTTCTATAAGAAACTGTATTTTAAAATGAAATGGAGCTCTTTTTTAAAGGTTAAAAACTCATCCAATTTTATGTCTTACAGGGCTTATACTGTGTTCAATACTGTAAAACTGTATTAATTCAAGAGAAAACCTAAAAATTTTATATCCTTGCTCTGGAGTGTGTTACTGAATATGTTAAATATGTAATGAAATGCTTCTTCTAATCATGTGGTTATTAAATTTTTTAAAAAATAATAATTCTTCAAAGTATAAAAATTTGCTCCCTAATAATTAGTAGATATGAAAAATATTACCACTGAAAACTACCTGATGACTTTATATCTATGCTCAGATGCCAAGGAGCTCAGAAAGTAACCAACTGTGACTAGTAATAATCAGATATATAGAGATTAGAAATGCATGTGCAAATATCTTAGGGTCAATTGCATTAAAAATGAATTTTTCTGTATGAAACTGTGTACCCATTTAATTTTATGTCTTACAGGTTTTATACTGAGTACAATATTGCATAACTGTATTAACTGTAAATCTAAAAATTTGCAGTCAATTTTGAAAGAGATGCATCTTAGCTCTGGAAATTGTTATTGAATATGTCAATGCTGTTGTAATAAAATGCTTATTCTAATTATGTGATTATTAAATAAATAATTTTAAAAAAAAACAAAAGATTTTTACATGAATGCAGGAGGAAAAAATTCTATTGTGCTTAAAGTTTTACAAATTTTCTAAAAGCTCTACTGAATTTTCTTCTACTCATCCTCTTATCAGATTCATTTGTATAAGATGAGAGAAACACTATTCTATTAAAATGAAATAGGCAATAAAAAATACAGTAATTCACTTGGTACTAAAACTGTTACAACACTGACATGTGAAAACTCTAAAAGGTTTGGGGAGACTAGAAATGTGGCTCAGTGGCAGTGTTTATGAAACACATATGTGAGTTCTGGGTTTATTTCAGGCTTAATTTCATTTTGGTGTTCATTAATTTCTTGCACACTGGGACAGACGGTAATTCAGGTAACTAGTATCCTATGAATTTAGACATTACGTCTTAAAAAAAGTTGAAATTTGGGGCTGGAGAGACAGCTCAGTGGTTAAGAACACTGGTTGTTCTGCAGAAGGCCCGGGTTCGAATCCCAACATCCACATGGCAGCTAACAACTGTCCATAACTCCAGTCCTAGGGGATCAAACAGCCTCTTCTGACCTCTGTGGGCACTGCACAACATGGGTGCACTTACCTACACGCAGGCAATAGACGCATACACATAAAACTAAAAATAATAAAATTTTTTTAAAAATTGAAACTTACTGGCGAGTTCTCTTTGCTACCACATCATCTAGGAGCTGTTCTGTGTTCAATTGGGCCTGAACCTAAAGGGGAAAAAAAAGGAAAAAAACACCCAGTAGATCCCACAGAAAGCAGAAGATATAAAACAAAACAGCTATCAAACATTATTACTTCATAACCCATGGTAATAGGAGCATGAGCTCAGGAGAGGCCTGTGTTGTTCTGACAACACACTCTGTTAAGGTTTCTGGATTAGATCAAGTTGCAAACAAGTTTGTTAGTAAATAATGTTATTATAAGATGCTATTGAGGGCAGGAAATAGGAAAAAAAAACCATATTAACAGAAAGAATTAACCTAATGTTTTATTTTACACACTTAAACCTAATTTCTACCTCAACCAGGAGCAAAGACTTATGAAAGGATCCACAGTGAGTAAAAAGAAAACACAACCAAGGCTTCTAATACCTTCAGACCTCTTCTGAAAAGAAAAGTTGCCTGACGTGTATCTTTCTGATGACTTAATTTACTTCCACTCCTGGTAAAATTAGCCGGAATGTTATTCCTACAACATAAAACACATAGATGAGTATTAGCCACTTTTTTTTTCAAAAATCTTGAGGAGAAAACAAGAAAACAGTGAACCTCATAGGCTGAAAACTAATGAGCATGTAATATAAAGGTCTCATTTGCTTCCTTAATCCCAGCACTTGGGAGGCAAAGGGAGGCAGATCCTGGAACTCCTGGTGAGTTCTAGGACAGCTGACAAAAATGCCAAGTTCCTAAAAAAAAAAAAAAAAAAAAAAAAAAAAAAAAAGTATCTCCTTCTGTAATACATCACATAACAACTTGGTTTTGAAATAACGTATCTCCCAAATATTCTATTCTCAATATTTCCCATTTTAAATACCTTATTTCCCTAAATTGGGTTTAAAAAATTTATGTTATAGGATTGGTACAAAGAAAGTCATACTTTAGATGCATTTAGTCAAACTGAAAGCCACAAATAAAAAGATGACTTGAAAAAACACCTCTAATACTCTGGCTTTTTTCTTCCTTCATCATTTAGAAACCTTTGTATGCTAATATAAACCACAATGCTAAGGATGTAGCTAAGTGACAATACTTGTCTACCATGCTTAAGACCCTGAGTTCAATCCTCAGCATGGCAAGGAAAAAAAACCCAAACACATGAATATACACAAATATAGATATATATTACATATATTTACATATATACCACATGTGTGTATGTATGAATGTACAAAAAAATCATACTTTTTGGACCAGTGAGATAGCTCAGCAGGAAAATGAGCTTGCTATGCACACCTGATAACCCCGAGTTCCATTCCCAGAACTCATGTAAAGGTTGAAGGAGAGAACCAACTCCACAAAGTTGTCTGACTTCTACACTTGCACTGTGGCATATACACATGCATACACACGTTAAGCACATACCATGCATACATATAACAGCTTTTAGAAGTCACACTCTTTCGTTGGGTGTAGTTGATGCATGCTTTTAATCCCTACACTTAGGAAGCAGAGGCAGGTGGATGTGAGATGGAGACCAGTCTGATCTAAATAGCAAGTTCTAGGCCAGCTGGGGCTACAGGGAGACCCTGTCTCAAAAAAAAAAAAAAAAAAAAAAAGTCATACTCTTCTGCTTTTTAATTCTTTCATACATAGAAAAATGCACACTTAATAAATTATATTTTGGGGCTCGAGAGATGGCTCAGCAGTTAAGAACACTGACTGTTCTTGCAGAAGACCAGGGTTCGAATCCCAGCACCCACATGGCAGCTAACAACTGTCTGTAACTCCAGTTCCAGGGGACTGTCTCTTCTGTCCTCTGCAGGCATTGTACAATACGGGTGCACTTACCTACATGCAGGCAATACATGCATACATGTAAGATAAATAAATAAATAATTAAAAAAAATATTTGACTTGACTTTTACCATTTAGTATATGAAAAAGCAAAATTTCACAATTATCTACTAAATAATCAAGTGGTTGAAAGATACTTTATTTTTCTCTTAGAGGTTCAAATGCAACATTTCCCTATCAAGCACAATTAACACCGACTTTTTAAAAATAAATATTTTATTTATTATTTTTATTTTACGTGTTTTTTTTCATTTTTTTAGTGCCAAGTACTTATTTCCCTTACAGTGGAATGGCTCACAACACTCAGGCTTTGGCACTGTGAGAGAGAGGAGCATCTCTGGCCTCTTATGGTCAGAGGATCTTGGCCTCACAGTGTTAAGAGGGGAAAGCAAAGTGTTTTCACTCTCCTGCCCTCACTAGGGCCTGAAAGAACAGTACAAGGTCCACTTCTTCCACCTCTCAGGCAGGAAGCCACTGTGGTGACATGTTTAGTTCTAACCATTATAGTAAGTGGTAAAAAGATTGGCCTGGTCCCAACCATCACAGGGAGAAGGTGCAAATGGCATTGGAAGATACAGTCTGGATTAGGCCATGATAAGGGGCAGATGACTTAAGTAGTATGTGACTGGTGGAAGCAGTTACTATGCTTCTGGTCTACCAATCCCTGGCTTAGCAAAAGGGTGGGGAGATGAATGGTGTTTACTGTTTAACACTGATGATGCCCAAAAATTCATGCTTGAGGAAGTGCCACCTGCAAGGAAACCATCTACATCAGGCTGCTCCAGGCACAGAACCTCCATAAATGATGAGGGTGCTTTGAGCCACTGCATCAGACACACTGGATTTAAGTAAGCCCTGGAGGTTCTCATGTACTTCCTGGGCCTGTTGGAATGTTGCAGTCTTCTGGTACCAATGGCCCATATGGGTTCAGAACACAGGACAACCTTGTTCCACTCCTTTACATTACCTGTGATAACCTTGGTTTGCTCATAATTCCAGCTTCCCTTTCATCTAACTTCTCCCCAATGCAGGCAATCACTCCAAGTCCCTCTACCAGGAGTTGGGCCACTTTCTGCCCCATCAACTCATCTGACTCCCTAAAGATGTACCCCAGGACTACCCCAGTAGCTCCACAATCTTTGATCATGCCAAGGCTCACCTCCCCAGTGAAGGCCCCATTAGTTACTTTGTAGCAGTTCTGGGCTGCCACAGCAATTTGGGGCTCCAGCTTTTGCCTGCCATAGTCAATGCAGGCAGTGGGGAGTGCACATATCACCTCAATGTCAACTGGCATCTTGGCTGCATTCGGGGTACAGATAAGTTCTTCCAGACACTTCTTCCTCCCATTCATCTTTCAGTTGCACCCCCACCCCACCAAAGAACTTCCTGAAAGGTGTCACTGCACTAGGAGTGACTTGCTGAATGTCAATGTCAGCCTTTTATGTGTATGAGTGTATTGCCTGCATGTAGGTAGGTGCACCTGTGTCATGCAGTGCCCACTGAGGTCAGGAAAGGGTGTTGGGCTCCCCTAAAACTAGAGTTATGGACATAGGTGCTGGGAATTGAATCCAGGTATTGTGCAGGAGCAAGTGCTCTTAACTGCTGAGCCCTCTCTCCAGCCTCCTAAGACTTACTTCTTAGGTAAAGGACAGGCTCTTATTGGTGAAGGACCTCTTTCACAAAAGATGCTACTAAATGATTTCCAAACATGGCAGTTAAGTAAAACTGCAATTCCAGGTTTTATTTACTATGAATTGTCTTCTATAAGAAGTAACAGGGCTGGAGGGATGGCTCAGCGGTTAAGAGTACTGGCTACTCTTGCAGAGGACCTGAGTTCGATTCCCAGCACCCACATGGTGGCTAACAACCGTCTATACCTCCAGTTCCAGGGCATCTGACACCCTCTTCTGATCTCAGGCACTGCACAACATGGGTGAACCTACCTACATGCAGGCAATACACTCATATACATAAAATAAAAATAAAATATTTTTTAAAAAAGAAATGAATAATAGTACTTGAAATTGAATAAAGTAACTTCATAGCTTTTAAGTTTTCCTTTTGCCTACTTTATCCTTTATAGAGAACAGAATATCATCAACAGTTCCTAACTTTAGACTTTTGTATGCTTTCAATTTAGTATAAAAATAATTTCTATTTAAGAATATTCATGGGGCTAGAGAAATGGTTAAGAGCCCTGGTTGCTCCTACAAAGGACCAGGTTTGGTTACCAGCATCCACATGATAGCTAACAACCATCAGTAACTCAATTCCAGGGGATCTGATGTCCTCTTCTGACCTCTAAGGGCACTGCACGACACAGGTGCATTTACATATATGCTGGCCATACACACATTCACGTAAAATATTTTTAGAGTCCTGTAGGCTCATATGAACCTACAGCAATGGTGTCAGCATGCATAAGAAACATGCAAACTCAAGCAGACAAAAACCCAGCACAGAACTGTGGAAATGGGAAGTAGGACCCAATTTAGTTGAAATAATTATTGGCAGCATATTACTGCTCGGTGAGGAAGAGCTGATCTTCTTAAAGGAAGAGATTGTAAATTGACTAGACCTCAGTGGGTGAACTTACACTGAGGGACGTCTGGGGGGACACTAGACACAAATGACAGAATTCCAGTTGTGGGGGGCCTGTGGAATGGGGCCAATGGGGAAGGGGGTATAAAGATGTTCTGTACGAAATACACAAAAGTTCAGTTAAAAGTTTACAAAAAATAAATAGTAAAAAAAAAAGGCATGGTGGGTGCACACCTTTGATCCCAGTGCTAGGGAGGCAGAGGCAGGTGGATCTCTTTGAGTTCAGGCCAGCTGGGGCTACAGGGAGACTCTGATTCAAAAAGACCAAAAAAAAGAAGGGAGAGGAGAGCAGAGGGGAGGGGGAGGAAGGGGAGATAGGAGGGGAGGGGGGAGAAGAGAGAAGAGGGGAGGGGAGGGGAGAGGAGAAGAGAGAAGAGGAGAGAAAAGAGAGAAAAGAGAGAAGAGAAAAGAAGACAAAAAAATATCCATGCACCCTCGGTTGTCAGAACATGCCTGAAATCCCAGCATTTGGAAGGAGGAGATAGAAGGATCAATAGTTCGAGGTCATCATGTTCTACATGGTTAGTTCCACATCATCCAGAGCTATATACCAAGACTATCTTTTAAAAAAAAGGTAGGGGGGTGCTGGAGAGATGGCTCAGTGGTTAAGAGCACCTGACTGCTCTTGCAGAGGACCTGGGTTTGATTCCCAGCACCCACATGGTGGCTACAAACTGTCCTTAACTCCAGTTCCGCAGCATTGCATGACATGGGAGCACTCACATACATGCAGGCAATATACTCATACACATAAAATATAAAAATAAAGGGCTGGAGAGATGGCTCAGTGGTTAAGAACACTGACTGTTCTTGCAGAGGACCCAGGTTCAAATCCCAGCACCCACATGGCAGCCAACAACTGTCCATAACTCCAGTTCCAGGGAATCGACAGTCTCTTCTGTCCTCCGCAGGCATTACATATGGGTGCACTTACCATGCAGGCATACACATAAAATAAAAATAATAAAATATATAAAAAAAGAAACAAAAACAAGTAATTTTCTAGCTTGCTTTTCAGAAAAAAAAATCTACATTATGATTCGGTGTTTAATAAGAATCAAGGTTCAATAACCAATTCAGCATTTAAAATTCCAAATTTTGAATTCTGATCCAAGTGTTATGATTTTTATAAAATTGATTAGTTTTACAATTTAAAATTTAAAATTCCAAATTTTGAATAATTCTGACCCAAGTGTTATGATTTTTACAAAATTGATTAGTTTTACAATTTACTCTATATGTCAAAGTTTTTTTTTTTTTTTTTTTTTTGTCTTTTTGAGACAGGGTCTCCCTGTAGCCCCAGCTGTCCTGGAACTCACTATGTAGACCAGGCTGGCCTTGAACTCACAGACATCCGCCTGCCTCTGCCTCCCAAGTGCTGGGATTAAAGGCGTGCACCACCACGCCCAGCTCTATATGTCAAAGTTTTAAAGCAGAGTGATACCTTTTTAAAAAGGTTTATGTAGGGCTGGGTGTGGTGGCTCATGCCCTTAATCTCAGCACTCAGGAGACAGTGGTAGGTGGAGAAATCAGGACCAGTCTAGTCTACATAGAGAGTTCCAGGGCAGCTACAGGGAGATTTGTCTCAAAAAAACCTTAAATAAATAAAAGGTTTCTATTACTAAAATTCATCAATACCACTGTTTCTAAGAAATAAGAAAGCTACTACTGAATGCTTCCATGTTGGATTTCAGGTAGACAGCTCCAATATCTATTTTTGTTTCCATGGAGCTAGGGATCAAACCCTGGGACTTTCCACATGCTTAGGAAGTACTCTATACCACTGAGTCTCATCCCTGACCCCCATCAAATATGTGTGCTGAAAATAACCAGATAATTAGAAAACCCTCAGTATAAATCCATTCTTCCGAATACCTAGCAAAGTAAGTATTTTGTATACTCTGATGGTTAGTCTTGATTGTGAACTTGACAGGATTTATACTCACTATAGAAACAACCTGAGGCCAGGCGTGATGGCACACACCTTTAATCCCAGCACTGGGGAGGCAGAGGCAGGCGATCTTTGGGAATTCAAGGCCAGAATTGACACTTTCCTAGGTCTGGTCTTTTTCCAGTTAGGCTACTTTAAAAAAAAAAAAAAAAAAAAAAAAAAAAAAAAGAAAAAAGAAAACAACCAATCTCTGGACAAGTCTGTAAAGGATTATGTAGATTAGGTTAACTAAAGAGGGGAGATCCAGCCTACATATTGGGGGCGGGGAGCATTCCACAGGTTGGGGACCGAGAACGAATAAAAAGTGAGCTGAGTACAAGCGATCACCACTCTGCTTCACATCTCTGACTGTGGACATGCTGACTCACCTGTTCTTTTAGCCATGACGAGCTGTAGCCACTGACTAAAACCCCAAATAAATCCTTCCTTCACAAGCTACTTTTGTCAGGTATTTTGTCACAGAAACAAGAGAAGTAGTTAATACAGATACTTTATGATAATATATTCCTCAATATCTGAGTACTTACTTTCTGTTTAACTGGTTAGGTCTCTTGAGAACTGCAACTGGTTTCCTTTGGACTTCATTTTGTCTCAGAAGGTTTGTTTTCCTTTTTAATGCTGGAAAATATCGTTCTATATTCTTTCAGAAGGTAAGAAACTATGTTAATCAGATTGTCATTTGTTATACCCAACTATAATGAAAACATTTCTAATGTACAATACAGGGGCCAAAAATGTCCTGGATGTGTGGTAAATGATAGTTTTGCTCCACTACTATACAATCTCTGCCATGACATGCTAGCTTCACCAGAGGCCCAAGTATGTGCTCTATCCCCCAACTCCCAATCTTAGACTGGACCTACAAAACCCTAAAAGTAAGTCTAATGCAATACTTACTGCTTAATTATCTAAGGTATTTTGTTATAGCAATAAAAAACTAAGCCAGGCATGGTGGTACACACCTCTGATCCAAGCACTTGGAAGGCAGAGGCAGGTGGATCTCTGTAAGATCAAGGCCAGTCTGGTCTACATAAAAAGTCCCAGGCCAGCAGTGGCTACAGGGAGACTCTGACTCAAAAAAACGAAAAAAAAAAAAAAAAAAAACCCACCTAACACAGTAAGTAAAAAGATAAAGGCTAAGTTCCAAAAAAAATGTGTTTTAAAAAAAAAAAAAAAAAAAGGTGGAACTACAAAAAAGGTAGAGAGCTGGTTACGGGGGGTGGGGGACACCTCTAAAACACCATCACAATAATTGTGGTAACTACAAAAAAGGTAGGGAGCTGGTTACGGGAGGGGGGGAACACCTCTAAAACACCATCACAATAATTGTGGTAACTACAAAAAAGGCAGGGAGCTGGTTACGGGGGGCGGGGGGACACCTCTGAAACACCATCACAATAATTTCAATGGAATTCTTTTTAAAAAAACAATCAAGAGCCGGGCGTGGTGGTGCACGCCTGTAGTTCCAGCACTTGGGAGGCAAAGGCACGCGGATCTCTTTGAGTTCAAGGCCAGCCTGGTCTACATAGTGACTTCCAGGCCAGCTGGGACTACAGGGAGACCCTGTCTCAAAAAGACCAAAAAAAAAAAAAAAAAAAAAAAGATATTTCTAATACTACTAACCCTTTAAAAGAACAGTAAAGAGTTGAGGGAGCTCCAGGCCAGCTGGGGCTACAGGGAAACCATGTCTCAAAAAGACCAAAAAAAACCAACAACAACAAAAACAAAACAAAACAAAAATAATAGTAACAATAAAAACACAAGCATAAACCAGGTGTGGTGGCACACATCTTTAATCCCAATACTCAGGAGGGGCAGAGGCAGGCAGATCTCTAAGTCCCAGGTCAGCCAAGTCAAAAAAAAAAAAAAGAAAACCAAAACAACCTACAAGCACATGAAATGTTCAGTTTTCCTTCCTTCACATCAAATCCATCATGAAATCCTAATTCGGGTTTCCTTATGTTTCCATAGAGATGTCTCTAAACGCAACTGTTTGGACCATTTCTTATACACTACCTGGGCCTTCCTATTACTTTAATCACAAGAAGCACTTAATAAACATTGACTATGTTTTTTTTTAAGTCATTTTCATGAATATTTAATGTAGATTTGTTTTTCCAGCTTCACAAACATAATCCTCCTATTTTAGTTTCCCAAGTGCTGCTACCACAGCTGGCTCTTTTGCTGTGTTGTTTTAGAAAGATCTTTATTTACTTGTGTGTGTGGTGTGTATTGTGTGCAGGTGCACAAGGATTTATGTGCTCATGTGCTTGTGGAGGACAGAGGTTGACACCAGGTATCTTCCTCAACTTATCTCTAATTTTTTGAGAAACGATCTCACTGAATATGGAACTCACTAGTTCTGGCTAGACTAGCAAACCCAAGGGATCCTCCATGACTCCATTACTCCAGTGCTCAGGTTACAGGCTGTTTTATGTGATCCTGGGCACTGAACTCAAGTCCTCATACTATCCTCACTGAGCTACCTCCCCAGTTCTCCATACTTGGCTCTTAAGGACTACTTAGAAAAGAAGAAAATGTAAAAATAAGTATAAAGAATGTCAAGAACATAAGAGAAAAGCCAGAGATCAGACTAACAGCCTATTCCATGCTTTAAATTTTTAAAAAAAAATATTTTATTATTTATATTTTACGTGTATGAGTGTATTACCTGCATGTAGGTAAGTGGACCCGTGTTGTGCAATGCTCGCAGAGAACAGAAGAGGCTGTCAGATCCCCTGGAACTGGAGTTACAAACAGTTAACTGCCATGTGGGTGCTGGGATTTGAACCTGGTCTTCTGCAAGAACAGCCAGTGTTCTTAACCACTGAGCCATCTCTCCATGCTTTTAAATTTTTTACATTTTATCGATTATGTGTATGTATGTGTGTCTGTATGGGGGTATGTGCATGAGAGTACAGGTGCCCACTAAAGCCAAAGAGGGCATCAGATCCCCTGGATTTGGAGCTGAAGGAAGTTATGAGCCATGCTACATAGGTACTAGAAACCAAACTTGGGTTCTCTGCAAGAGCAGTATGAGCTCTTAACTGCTGAGCCATCTCTACAGATCCTATTCCAAGATTTTTTATTTTGTCTGTAATGATTAACACCAAGGACCATTTTATAGACTAAATGTGAAAGCTTCCTCTATGAAACAATTTTTCTTTCAAAGTACCTGGCATTTATAATCATAATTATTTATGTTACAGCTTAATGTTTAAGTTTACTTAAGCCAGATGTAGTGATGCAAGCTTCTAATTCAAACTTCCTTTGGTAGATGAAGGTAGGATTAGAGGTTTACAGTCATCCTTGGCTACACAGTGAGTTCAAGGCCATCCTGGGCTACTATATGAGACCCTGTCTCAAAAAACTTTCCCCCTCCCAAAAAAAGGAGAGAAAAAGTTTATTAAACATTTATAGATTTTTTTAATCATTATTCCTTAAGTAATACAGTGAAACAACTATTTACATAGTATTTAGACTGTAACAGATTAAACACAGGACAATGTGCATACTTTATATACTACACTCTATAAAAGTGACTTCAGTGTGTGTGATGATTTAGGTTTCAAAGAGGTATCCTGGAAGCAATTCCTATAGATATGAAAGAAAAATTATATTTGAGAATGTGACAATATGTTCTTCATGATCAGAAATAATTTTTATTTAGCTGTTAAAATCTTCATGTAAGTCCCGAAGTAGTTTATTTAAAAATTTAAAACCAGAGGAGCCTGGACACAAGTGCATACACCTTCAATCCCAGCATTTGGCAGGTGGGGGCAGGAGTTCAAGGCCAGCCTAGATTCTGTTTCAAAATAAATAAATAAAAGTCAGGGCTGAGGATGCAATTCAGAGTGCTCCCTAGCTTATGCTCTGAATTTAATCTCCAGCACCCAAAAGAATACATACATAAATAAGAATCAGAATTATCTGAGACTGGCAAGATGGTTCATCAGGGAAAAACACCTGCCATACAAGCAACCTGAGTTCCGACTCTAGAAACTATGTATGAGTGGAAGGAGAAGCCTCTTGAAAGTTTTCTTCTGCCTCCACACGTACACACACAATGATACACACAGGTCTGCACACACACAAACACACACACAATAATTTCTTAAAAATTAAAAGAATCAAAACACCCTAAATCTTACTCATAAAAACATTATATAGTCAAGTGTGGTGATACATGCCTTTAATCCCAGCATTCAGGAAGCAGAGGCGGGTGGATCTCCATGAGTTCAAGGCCAGCCCGGCCTACATAAGTGAGTTCCAGGCCAGCCAGGGCTGTATAATGAGACTCTGTCTCATGCATGCTAGTGTGTGTGTGTGTGTGTGTATGTGTAAATAAAGGAAAATGGTATTTGACTCCAGGTTAAGCCATCATTATACCTTATCACTTAGAGGTGGACGATTCATAGGACTAATTCCTTTTCGAATTCCAGTTGCTTTCCTAGCTGCAAGGCCAGTGATAACTCCATAAGCACGTCTTTTTCCCGGTATCACTCTCCCTCTACGACTCACACTAGTTTTACCAAAACCTGTAAAAGGAAAGGAAGAATAAATACTATTAAGATAGGACTGCAACTGCAAATTGCAAAGGATACTTTATTTCTAAAGTTGGCTGGTCTATGTAGTGCTGGGGATCAAATCCAGCTCACATATGCTAGAAAAATACTCTACCACTGAACTACACCCTCAGCCCCTGTATTACTTTCCTCAGTATGACAATCTAGAATGCACTTGTGCATACAGCAGCCTTTTTTTTTTTTTTTTTTTGAGACAGGGTATCACTATACAGCCCAGGCTGGCCTGGAAAATGCCATGAAGTTCAGATTAGCCTTGAACTCACAGTAATCCTGCTTCTGCCTCTCAAGTGCTGGGATTATAGGTATGTGCCATCATGTTCAGCAGTAGCTATCAATTATATGTGAATAGTCAATAGCTGAAATATAACTAGTCTGAACTGAGATAGTACAAATGTTCCATTAATGATTTTATATTTTATGTTCAAGTATGTTTCATATGCTGGGTTAAATAATATAAAATCTATTATAAATATGTGGTTCACATTTTATTTCTATTGGATAGTGCTGATCTACAGTAGAGTCACTATCTCATCTTCCATTTACTTACTAGTCTACAATTTAGTTTCTTTGCTTTTACACCTACTCTATTCAAATTGCTTTTTAAAAATTTTTTAAATTTTTTTATTTTACATGTACGAGTGCCTTGTCTGCATATATGTAAGTATATCACATGCACGCAATGCCTTCAGAGGCCAGAAGAGGTCATCGGATCTTCTGGAACTCGCCAGGTTGGTGGGTGGGTGCTGGGAACCAAACCTAGGTCCTTTGTAATAGCACCCTTGCTCTCAACTGCTGAGTTATCTCTCTAGCCCTCAAATTGTTTTTTCTAAAATCTGCTTTCGTTATATATCTTATCAATTGAAATACTTTTTCTAATTATTAAAAAAGCTCATAATAGAGAATAAATGAGACCAATGGCTGGCATGGATGGGGGAACGGGAACACTCATCCACTGTAGACATCAGTGGATTTAATCCTTTTGAGACAGTGTCACTATGTAGACCAGACTGGCTTTGAATTCACAGTGATCTGCCTGCCTCTGCCTCCCAAGTGCTGGGATTAAAGGCATGTGATACCATAATCCAGCACAGTATGGAGACTTAAAAAACAAAATAAATCTACCATATAATCCAGTCAGTAAGTCCTCGGCATATACCCAATGAACTTACCCTACTACGTAAATACTTGCACAGCCATGCTTACTGCTGCACTTTTCATAATAACTAAGAAATGGAAACAACCTAAATGCCCCTCAACTGACAAATGGAAAGTGAAAATGTGGTACATTTACACAATGAAGTTCTACTCACCAGTAAAGACAGACAAAATCATGAAATTTGCAGATAAATGGATGTAACTAGAAACTGTAGTATAACTGTGAAGAAACAGAGATTCAGCAAAACAACCAACATATGTTCTCCCTCATTTGTGGATCTTAGCTCCAAATCCCTAAATGTAAGTATAAATCCTGATGTAACCACAGGAGCCAGGAAAATGGAAATGAACCATGGGAAAAAAGGGGAAGCAGAAGTCGGGGGGGGGGCAGTATGAGACAGGTGTTATTAAGGGAGAAATGAGGAAAAGGGTAATGTACTTTAACAGGACCCCTCCTGTAAAAAGGGTATACTGGGGAGTGAGAGGAAAGATAAATAATGCTTAGATGGTATGAAAACCCGGAGGGAAATGAATTAGTTCAAAGTCCTACTGAAAAATACACATACAATAAACACACAAGTACATGTATACACCTGAAGGCTATGTAACAAAAACACAGTGCTGAGCAGGAGAAACCTCTCGAGGTATTGGTCAAGGTAGTCCAAGAGAGTCCCAAAATAACAGACTATTGCTACAGCCCTTGATTGCCACCTAGAACTTAAAGGTGAGACCCTATTGCTGAAAACAGGTCACACTTCAGACAAAGGACTTGCAGCAATACAGCTGGAAATGACCAGGAAGCCTCCTCTGAAGACTAGCTTTCATGGTATCAGAGGATACTATGCAAGCTGCCAAGGGAAAAAACCCAATCAATGGCACTACCCAGCTGTGAAGCCTAATAAAGAATAGGCCCAGCAAACTATTGCTATTCATGCAGTAGTGGCACCTTTTTCTTGGGGGTAATCAACAACTATCTAATTGGAATTAAGACCTACTCAATGGAAGGGACCACCTGCGCAGTATTATAAACATAGCCAAATACACATGGCTGGAGAGGTCATAGATCCCAGAGAAAAACCTACTTTTGCCATATCCCTAGACCACCGTAATTTCTTATTTTATTCTAAAGACGCACTTTATTTTATTCTAGACAGCACTCAGGAGGCAGAGCCTGGCAGATCTGTTGAGTTCAAGGCCAGCCTTGTCTACATAGTCAGACCCTGTGTAAAAAAAACCAAATAATAAATATCCCAGCACTCAGGAGGCAGAGGCAGGGGGATCTCTGTGAGTTCAAGGCCAATCTGGTCTACTGAGCACATACCAGGTCAATTGGTGCTACAAGGAGACCCTGTCTCAAAAACCGCCCCCCCCCAAAGAAACCCTTAAAAATTTAAAAATTAGAATTTCTTAATGCAACAGCCAGAAATTTGAAGAGAATCATGCTAAGTAACTACTGTGATTGTGGGCATTCTCATCTTAATTCTGACTTTTAGGGGAAAGTCTTTAGAATGTTATCTGTAACATATAACAAGTTTTACAACTAAAAAAAGTCTCATTGCTAAAACTAAGTAAAATTAAATTTTTGCTGTAGGACTTCTCAGGGCTAATGTGTACTATGAATCTCTAAGAAGTAATAGCATGTCATTCTCACACTTATTTAACCCTTGAACTTGTATAATATCCCTATCAATAATTTCAAACAGGAGTTCAACAAGATAGGGTGTTTAAATCACTATTAATTTATTATCTCTCAGCTCCCACTCATCCTTTATAGCCCTGCCTCTGCTAAGAACACCACTTTTTTGTTAGTGTGCATGGCTTTAATCTTTATCAATAGAGGGTGCTGGAGAAATTACAGAAGATGAAGGGACTTTTCTTACAGATTCCAATATACTTCTCATGGTTTGTTCCTGTGGCATGGGACACGTAACGATACTCACCAGCCATCCTATGGCCGATTCTATGGTAAGGCTACAAAGATGCTGCTGGCAAAAATTTTGAGTGATGCCTTCAATTCTGTATCCTAAGTACCTGTCTAGTTCTCATCCTTGTCTATCCCCCAGTGAATCTAAGCAGCACTACATGTCCACACACAGCTTCCCAGTAAGTCTCATCAGCATGGAAACTTAACAGATTTCTCTGCCACCCAAAAAGCCATGTCATGGTCTTGCCCTCTCCAGCAAGGTCAACACAGGTGTGTGTGCGTGGGGGGGGGGTAATGGTGCATCCAGATATGTTTCTTTCTCTAGTGTTCGCCTCAGTCCTAAAAGCATTGATAGTTAATAATTTTATAATCAGAAAAAAAGCAATAAAGACACAAAATTTTTAAATGCATTATTTCTGTTCTATATATGGTTTTCTTTAATGATGATTCAAATATGTTGGGAGATCTCATATATTAAATCTGTGAGTTAGTTTTATTTGTATTAACTAAATGAAACAGCTATCACTTATACTGCTAGGTACTGTGTTGCCAAATACTTTAATTTACATAAGAACTTAATGAGAACAATTAATCTTAATTTTGCAGGTAAAGCAAAGAATGATGATGACTGAGAGGTCACAGAAAACAGCAGAGCCATGATCTAAGCACAGGTGTGTGTGGTGGTCAAAGAAGGAACAGCTCTCCAAACTGTGACATAAAAATGAAATAATAAAAGAACATAATTCACAATGTATTTTTTAAATATTTTATTTATTATTTTTATTTTATGTGTATTCATGTATTGCCTGCATGTAGGTAAGTGCACCCGTGTCGTGCAGTGCCCAAGGAGGACAGAAGAGACTGTTGGATCCCCTGGAACTGGAATTACAGACAGTTGTTAGCTGCCATGGGGTGCTGGGATTTGAACCCGGGTCTTCTGAAAGAACAATCAGTGTTCTTAACCACTGATCAATCTCTCCAGCCCCTCCACAGTGTATTTTCAAGGAGAAAAAGTCCACAGCTACTATACTTAAAAAGCAGTCTGTTGACTAGATACTACAAAATGAGCAACATCTGAATAGAAAAGACAGCATGAAGGATTTCTGATTGGTGTGACAAGTAAAAAGACATAGGTGACCACAACATATTGAGAGATATAGTCTAGAGAAAAGGGCAAAAAGTGAATGGGATGTGTTGGGGTAAAACCATAAAAAGGTTTGAATGGGCACAGACTGTACTTGACAAGGAATTCATGGTAAAACTACATCAGCATTACTTTAGACATATTGGAAGACAGGACGAGAATGTGGTAAGACCATTTAGAATGCAACAGTAGCATTCAAAACATAACGGACTGTGAGAGGAACAAAGCTCAATCTTAGCCATTCCTAAGTTGTCCCTATATTATCATGGATCTCAGGGTTCAGATCATAATCCCCCAAAAAAGATAATTTTTCTGATGTTTCATGGACCAGATTATATTTCACCTTATCCATTAAATCATCCCTTCTAATCTTAGCACACAATCCTTACGTGAAGTCCAGTAATACCATGGTATCCTTTTCCTTTATTCCCAGACATCTCCCAGCTTTGTTGGTTTTTTTTCTTAGACAGGGTCTCTTTATGCAGTAGTAGCTGGTCTAGAACTCTATGTAGACCAGGTTGGCTTTGAACTTAAGTTGATCCTCCTGTCTCTCAATTTCTCTTAGTTTCCCAAATGCTGAGATAAAAGGCATGCATCATTACGCACACCTATGATATTTCTTAAAATTTTAATTTAGATACTTTTATTGTATGAGTATTTTGCCTTCATGTATATAAGTGCACCATGTATGTGCAATGCCAGTGGAAGTCAGAAGAGTTCACGATCTCCTGAAACTGGAGTTACTGATGATTATTACTCACCATGTGGGTGCTGGGAACCAAATTCAGGTCATTTACAAGAGCAGTCAGAGCTCTTAAGCAGTAAGACATTTCTTTATTTCTTTTCTTTTCCTCCTTCCCTTCCTTTTTGTCTTTTTGAGAGAGGGTCTCCCTGTAGCCACAGCTAGCCTGGAACTCATTATGTAGATCAGGTTGGCCTTAATCTCAAAGATCAACCTGTCTCTATCTGCCGAGTGCCGGGATTAATGTGCCATCACATCCAGCATCTCTGACATTTCTTTTTCTTTTTTTTTTAAAGACATATTTCTCTTTATTAGAACTCTGACATTTCTTAAACTCTACTTTTCTAAGTTATTTCTACTACTAGAAATTAAGAACTAGGCAGTTCAAAAAATTTATTAGATATGTAAAATATAAATAAGTACTATTTCTGGCTTCTCTGAATTCTTCAAAAAAATAGATAAATATTATGGTATACAAAATATGTCAGAATGTTGAATAACATTTGTAAGAAACTATTACTATAAATCAATGGGATTAAATATTTATTTGTAATAGCTAAACACCTGTTAAAATTTATTAGCTAGGTTCAGATATTAAAAAATTATTAAGCCAGATGTGGTGGTGCACACCTTTAATACCAGCACTTAGAAGGCAGAGGTAAGGTGGATCTCTAGGAGGTCAAGGCCAGCCTGGTTTACATAGCAAGTTCCAGGCTAGCCAGAGTTACATAGTAAGACTTCTCTGTCTCAAAAAACAAAAAACTTATTAGAGGGGCTAAACTCAGCAGTTTAAGAGCACTGGCTACTCTTGCAAAGGACCCACGTTCAGTTCCCAGCACCTACACAGCAGTTCACAATCATCTGTTAACTCCAGGTTCAAGAGATCACATGCCCTCTCTGGCCTCGGTGGTTACCAGGTATGCATGTGGTTGGTATGCAGGCAAAGCACTTATAAAGTAAAAATTAATCTTTGAAAAAATTATTAGAAGGATTGGAGAGATGGCTCAGTGGTTAAAAACATACTGCTCTTACAGAGGATGAGAGCTTGGTTCCGAGCACAAATGTCGGGTGACTCACAACTGCCTTTAACTCCAACTCCAAGTGATCAACACCATCTTTTAGACTCTGAGGGCACCTGCACTCATACATACACAGATGTGCACATAATTAAGAATAAAATAAATCTGGGCTGGAGAGATGGCTCAGCGGTTAAGAGCATTGGCTGCTCTTGCAGAAGACCTGGGTCTGAATCTCAACACCCACATGGTGTCCACTATTCATAAATCCAGTTCCAGAGGATCCAAAACCCTCTCCTGTTTTCTGCAGAGCACTGCCCAACAAGGGTGCACTTACACTCATGCAGGCATAACACTCATACACACAAAAAATAAGAAAAAAAAATTTTTTTTTCATCTTTTTGAGACAGGGTCTCCCTGCAACCCCAGCTGGCCTAGAACTCACTATGTAGACCAGGCTGGCCTTGAACTCACAGAGATCCGCCTGCCTCTGCCTCCCAAGTGCTGGGACTACAGGAGTGCACCACCACGCCTGGTTAAGGCCAGCTGGGGCTACAGTGAGACCCTGTCTCAAAAAGACCGCCCCCCCACCAAAAAAATTAAATTAAAAAAATAACTCTATAAAAAATTATTAAAGAACAATTAAATTTTTTGTAGGTTCCAATTGCAGTTACATATGTATTTTGAGGACATGCTGGCATATGACTTGTTAAACAGCAAAATACAGAATAAAAAAATTAATGTTAGTTGACACTAATTTATCAACATATTTTTTATTTATGTAAAAAAGACTTAGTTTCTTTTTATTTGAACAAAGACTTACTCTAGGATGCTGATAGAGTTGCTAAAAAATTAATAATACATAATTAAGTGTTCAATTACTGCCTCTCATCCATTTTAGAACCAAATAATAATAAATTTTCAGATTACCAAAAATAACTCTACATGTAGATTATCAAATTACAACTAAAGCAGTCGATTTAGAGTTACCTTGAGGGATTTAACAAATCTTAAAAGTTCTTAAAGTAAGGCGTCTTAAGGAAAGCAGCAGTGGCATTGCACTCCTTTGATCCCAGCACTCAGGAGGCAGAGGCCTGCTCTTCATAATAAATTCCAGGCCAGCCAGGGCTACATGTGAGACCCTGCTTTAAAAAAATAAAAAGACAAAGAAAAGAAAAAGAGAAAAAAGAAAAACGTATGGAGCAGAATGGCAGTATCCACATTCTAAAAGGTTTCTAATTTAGAAAAATGAGCTTGCTTCCAGTAACACTGTAGAAGTAACAGGCATGTTTTAATTAAAATTCAGAATTTTCTAGTAAATAGAGCTGCCCCAGACAGAGTTATCTTATGAAGAAGTATGTTCTTTCACTGAACATATTTAAGCTGGAGTTAGTTATCCATCAGACTGTCTGTCACTGGGAAGGAAATAGGGCCTGGTAATATGTAAGATCTTTCCACATTCCAAACCCCAAATATAATTTACACTACTTATAAATTGAGATTTACTTTAAAACAACTTAATATTTTAAGGACCAATTATTTATCAGCTATTTTAGGAAATAATTTTTTTACCAGGTTTTCGGAACTAAACAAAAATCTGAGAGTAGAGAAAATATAAATCACAAAGGGTACTGATATAGTTCTTTCAGGTTTTAAGTCTGTAATGAACACTGCACATTATGAATCCATAAATAAGAGCATTTCATTAAAACTTACCAGAATTCTGCTGGATTCCCCAACGTACTCTCATCCTGAATTGTCGAGTGCCATTTTGCTGGAGCCTTCTATTTAGTCTTGGAAAATTTTGTTTCTTGCCTTCCTTTCGATTCAGTTTGATAATATCATCTACAAGAGGAAATGTCATAATTATTTTCATATTAACAAAATTAATCAACTGATCTGTCTCACTTCATAGTTAACAGATTTCTCCTATATCCTTCACTTCTCTTATATTCTTATTATTTTGGCTTTTTCAGACAGCTTCAATGTGTAGCATAGGCTAGCCCCAAACTTGTTATGTAGCCTACACTATCCTTGACTCCTCATTCTTTCCCTTCACCCTCTAAGTTTCACTCAGGCATTTTTGTAGGAAAAGTTCCAATCAATAACCAAAAGCAGATCCACCAACAAATGAAGAGTTCTGTTGCCAGGAGAAGAACAGAAGATACAGATCAGTGTTTCCCAAGAATATGTAAGGTCCTGGTTCAAAGTCCAATACAACAAACACCAACAAAACGCAGACTTCTTTACTGTTGGGCATGAAGGCACATGCCTGTAATCCCAGCACCAGGAGGCAGAGGCAGAAGTATCAAGAATTCAAAGTCATCTTTGGCTACACGGAGAGTATGAGGCCAGCTTGGGTGCTGTGAGAGACTGTCTGCAAAAAATCCAACCAACTAAACCAAACAACAAAAAAACCCCAAAAGACCAAATTGCTAATCATCTGAATTCATCAAATATTTATTGAGTATACACTTTGTGCAGTGAATGCCATGTGTAAGATTGCTTTAAAGGGAACAAACAAATATTAAGACAGTCTCCATTCTCGGTAAATTTAAAATTATTGAAACAGGCATGCAAATAGCAAGCAAAATTTAATGAGTTGTAATAAAGGTATGGTACTTAGGTTTTCTTCCTCTAGCAAAGCCATTTCTAATTACCTGCTCTTTACCTGTATGGGTCATACAATGCCCACGGAGGTCAGAAGATGCTGTCAAATCCCCTGGGACTGGAGTTACAGACAGTTGTTAGCTGCCATGTGGGTGCTGGGATTCGAACCTGGTTCTTCTGCAAGAACAGCCAGTGTTCTTAACTGCTGAGCCATCTCTCCAGCCCCCAGAAGATAACTTGTACTCTCCTACTCTTGGCTTCTAGGAACTTTTGACCCATACAGATAAGAACCTGAATACATTTAGTTTTCTTATCATTACATTGATCATTTAAGATGGTATGATGTTTATGAATAATCTTGCAGTGGTTTGAAAGTGTTTTTTGGAAGTACTGAGGCTTACAGAATTACAGAGGTCAGTCTAGAAAGAACAGGTAATTAGAAATGGCTTTGCTAGAGGAAGAAAACCTAAGTACCATACCTTTATTACAACTCATTAAATTTTGCTTGCTATTTGCATGCCTGTTTCAATAATTTTAAATTTACCGAGAATGGAGACTGTCTTAATATTTGTTTGTTCCCTTTAAAGCAATCTTACACATGGCATTCACTGCACAAAGTGTATACTCAATAAATATTTGATGAATTCAGATGATTAGCAATTTGGTCTTTTGGGGTTTTTTTGTTGTTTGGTTTAGTTGGTTGGATTTTTTGCAGACAGTCTCTCACAGCACCCAAGCTGGCCTCATACTCTCCGTGTAGCCAAAGATGACTTTGAATTCTTGATACTTCTGCCTCTGCCTCCTGGTGCTGGGATTACAGGCATGTGCCTTCATGCCCAACAGTAAAGAAGTCTGCGTTTTGTTGGTGTTTGTTGTATTGGACTTTGAACCAGGACCTTACATATTCTTGGGAAACACTGATCTGTATCTTCTGTTCTTCTCCTGGCAACAGAACTCTTCATTTGTTGGTGGATCTGCTTTTGGTTATTGATTGGAACTTTTCCTACAAAAATGCCTGAGTGAAACTTAGAGGGTGAAGGGAAAGAATGAGGAGTCAAGGATAGTGTAGGCTACATAACAAGTTTGGGGCTAGCCTGCGCTACACACTGACTGCTCTTGCAAAGGACCTGGGTTCAATTCCTAGCACTCACATGGCAGCTAACAACCATCTGTAACTCCAGTTCCAGGGGATCTGAAGCCCTCTTCTGACCTCTTCAGGCACTGCATGACATGGGTACACTTACACACATGCAGATAATATACTCATACACATTAAAAATAAAATAAATAAAATATTTTTTTAAAAATACTAAAAGTCCATTGTGCTAGTTATTTTCTACCACGGTGGCAAAATACCCGATAAGCAATTAAAGGAAGGAAAGGTTTATTTGGGCTCAGGGTTTCAGAGTTTCAGTCTATAGTCAGTTGGCCCCATTGTTTCTGAGCCTGTAGTAAGATAACTCCAAGGTTGTCACATCCCTATACAAATGTAATTTCTTACTAAGTGCAAATATGGATCCTAAATTTACAGACTAGTAGTCCAGTCACCACCCATCAAAGAAGCTTCTTTTTCAAGAGACATAGAGTTCTACAACTGTTCACGCACAGAGGTTGTCTGTGAACTGCCTTAACCTAAGTGGCACATCTAGGATGCAACCTCTACACCTAAGGCTCACAGAACATAGAATAAAGGATGAAGAGAACACTAACGCATCTCTCAGTTCTCATCAATGAAGCTCCCTCATGCAACAGGAAAGCAAAAGATCACAAATGGTCAAAATGCAGAGAGTAAGTCTTCAGAGTGTAGGTCCTTGGACAGGACTCCTATATGAAAATCCACCCACCCAGGGTTCAGGGACCATTGCAGAAGAGGGGGCAGAAAGATTGTCAGAGGCAGGGAGGAGGTGCATGACCATATGGAAACAGTCCTACAGGTTCCTGGGACTCTTCTCATACGAACCTGCAGCAATGTTGTCAGCATGCACAAGACCCATGCAAACTTAAGCAGACGAAAACCCAGCACAGAAATGTGGAAATGAACAGCAGGCCCCAATCTTAGTCAAAGTATTATTGACAGCTGATCACTGCTGGGTGAGGAAGAGCTGATGATCATCTTTATTTTTTTATTTTATCTTTTTTTTTTTTTTTTTTTTTTTTTTTTTTTTTTTTTTTTTTTTTTTTTTGCTTTTGGAGTCAGGGGCCTAGAACTCTCAATGCAGCCCAGGCTGGCCTTGAACTCACAGAAATCTGCCTGCCTCTGCTTCGAAAGTGATGGGATTAAAGGCCATGTGCCACGACACCCGGCCAAGAACTGATTATCTTAAAGGGAGGGACTCTAGACAAGCTGACTAGATCCCAGTGGATGAACTTGCACTGAGGGACATCTAGGGACACTAACTTTACATTATAGGCCTTAACACAAATGACAGAATGTATGAACTCCAGTGGGGGGGACTATGGGAGGGTGCTAAAGGGGAAGGGGGTATAAAGATGATTTTCTGTATGAAATACACAAAAATTCAATAAAACATTTTAAAAAAGATAAAACATGGTAGAATGGCATGGCTGGGGAAAATTTATGGCCTCATGGCATCCAGGAAAGGGGAGAATGGTGTCACCCTTCAAAGTCACACCCTTAGTAACTACTTCTTCCAACCATACCCTATCTCTCCTAAATAACCAATTCAACTATGAACTTACCAATGGACTAATCCAGTCATGAGAGTATTGCCCTCATGATCCAATCATGTCTCAGTAGCTCCATTAGCTCTAGGGAACCAAGCGTTTTGCAGAGACACTTCATATTTAAATCATAGCACTAGTTTTTCAAACCAGTGAAAGGTTTCACATATCAGGTATATGAATATATTAAATTCTCAATGAGCAGAAAGAAAAGTTTAAAAAACACTATGAAACATTTTCCTTTAACAAGTTACTTTTTATTTTCTAGTAGAAATCTATATTTCAGAGCTTTAAGAGTATACTCCCCCCAAAAAACATGGTCAGGAGACTGAGGGAGGTATACTTTTGATTATCAGGGTATTTTAAAACAGAGTACATATAGCCTAAATATAACTAAAAATAATTTGAGATAGGATTTCACTTGAAGATTTAACTCATGATCCTCCTGCCTCAACTGCCACAGTGCTGTGATACCACTATACCTGGCTACAGCTTAAAATTTTAAAACAGTAAAACATTTTACTGTTTAAATCCTCAAACTACTTACAGCAGAAACAAGTCTTCTGATCTAAAAAAGGTCTCTCCTATTCACTGAGTAGATAGGGCATGTATTATAAGAAAAAAGATCCATTATAATCAACTCCAACTACTTCAAAGTTTCTTCCATAGCACTCTGTGTGTGTGTGTGTGTGTGTGTGTGTGTGTGTAACAGTCACAGAGTACAGAACAGCTTTACTCTGATGTATGCTCAATTCTTACAACAATCCTATGAAGTATAATCTTTTTTTCTTTTTTAAGAAACAGTTTGTTGTTTTTTTTGGGGGGGGGCTTTTTGAGACAGGGTCTTCCTGTAGCCCCAGCTGTCCTGGATTCACTATGGAGACCAGGCTGGCTTTGAACTCACAGAGATCCGCCTGGCCTCTGCCCCCCTTAGTGCTGGGATTAAAGCGTGCGCTACCACGACCGGTGAAATAGTTTTTATTTTATGAGTGTTTTATCTGCATGTATGTCTGTGTAACGTGCATGCAAGTGCTGTGGAGGCCAGAAGAGAACATCAGATCCCCTGGAACTGGAGTTACGGTAGTTAGCTGCTATGTGGTTTCTGGTAACCAAACCCAGATTCTCTGCAAGCGGCGCTCTTAACCACTGAGCCACTTCTCCAGCCTCCCAAAAAAGTTTTAAAATACTCATTTTTAAATTAGGAAACTGAGTCGTAAGGCCAGTTATTAGTAAATTCTTGTATAAACCTGGTTCACCCACAAAACCCAGAAAACAAGATTCTAAAACTCTTGCAGATTTGGTAAAATTAAGGAGTCTGCATTACAGTCTCTAAGATTCTCACTAAAAGAGCCTGGCATGATGGCACATGCCTTTAATCCCAGTACTTGGGAGGCAGAGGCAGGCAGATCTCTGTGAGTTCCAGACCAGCTGGGCCTACAGGGAGATCCTGTCTCAAAAGGAAAAAAAAAAAAAAAAAATTCTCACTAAAGAAAGGCACCTAACAGACTGTTGTACTCTGAAGAGACTGAGCTATATTTTAGCTCTACACAGCACTACTTTTCTACTTTGAAAAGAATTACCCAGTCTTCTTTACTTAAGATATGGCTCAGTCGTTAAAGTGCTTACCATACAAGTATGAACACCTGAGCTTGAATCCCTGGATCACCAGCACCTACATAAAAAGTTGGATGTGGTGGTGCATACTTGTTATTCCAACACTGGGGAGAGAGGCACAGAACTCCTGAAACTTGCAGGCCAGTCAGTCTAGCCAAATGGATGAGCTTCAGGTTCAGTGACAGACTCTGCCTCAAAAAATAAGGTGGAGAACGACTGAAGAAAAAAAAAAAAAAAAACACCAGGTGTCAACCTCTAGCTTCCACATGCACAGCACCTGGACACATGTACATAGTGACACATACCTTTAATCCCAAGACTTTGGAGGCAGAGGCAGGAGAATCTCTGTGAGTTTAAGGCCAGCCTGGTCTACAAAGTAAGTTCCAGGTTAGCCAGGGTTGTACTGTAAGACTCTGTCAGGGAGGGAGGGAGGGAGGGAAATAGATGACTCAGTGGGTAATAATGCTTGCCATTCAAACCTGAGTTCAAGCCCCAGAACCCATGATGGAAGAGCAGAGAACCAACTCTTAGAAGCCTCCTAATGGATATTGTAGCACACGAACAACTGCTAACACAAATGAGCTGTGCACACATAACACAATGGGGGGAGGGGGAGGAAGAGGAGGAGAAAATAAAAGATGAGCTCCCGAAGTAGACTGGCTGTGAAAACAGGTGTTCAACATATATGTATAACATCTATAGTTGGGGGCTCTAAAGCCAGACTGAAGTCGTGTCTTCAGCACTTACTAAAATGACTTTCCGCTAATTACTCCTCCCAAAGTTCTGTAAAATGAGAGTAATGGTTTATATGTGTATAAAAATGTTTATTCTGTATCCAATACTCTTCTAAGCAGCTTGCATATGCCTGTTGACTCATTTAATACAGCAAATCCAAGAGGTAGTCACTATGACCTTTATACAAAAGAAGCAATAACAAGCACTGGGCTAGTAAGTGGCAGAAGCAGGGTTCCCACTGAAAACAGAATGCTCTAGATTCTAGGCTTCCACTAGGAGTACAACAAGCCTTACCAGGTGATTCTGAAATTAAACAGGCATGTGAACCTGTTACCAACAAGGGTAAACACTCAATAAATATCCATCCTTATATGAATTCTTGGCTTTAGATCAAATGATTTGCTCGTTTCTTTGGATCTAATCGGTGATTAGCAGTGTGGCAAGACTAGAGGCCAAATATATTTCAGATTACTTAATTCAAATACGAGGTACTAACGAGGCAATCCAAAAAGCAAGAAAAAGTTCTTGACTTTTGACCAAAAAAACTTTCCCAATAAAACATGAAAAATGTAAAGAAATGGAGCCGGGGGTAGTGGCACACGCCTTTAATCCCACCACTTGGGAGGCAGAGGCAGGCGGATCCCTGTGAGTTCAAGGCCAGCCTGGTCTACATAGTGAGTTCCAAGACAGCTGGTGCTACAGGGAGACCCTGTCTCAAAAAAAGACACACAAAGAAATGACAACCAAAAAACGTTTCCAGACCCAGTAAAGCAGTACCCTAAACACCATCCTCGGGGTGTTTACACATTGGAGTTCACTAGTCAGGCATCTTACTTTTCGAATATATCTAAGGAGAAAGAGCAGGCAGAGCTGACTACATCCAGCACCGTAACTCAACTACACAAAATTAGAATCACTTTTTGATCTGCTAAGCCAAACACAGAGGCCGGGGCAAGGTCCGCTCCGAATTTTTCAAACAGAAATGAAAACGGATCCTGCTTTTTGACATCATCAGCACCAAACGACGGCATCGTTTTTATGTGTGCCAGGGCCCGAGTTCTACCTGGCATTTTGGCACTCGGTTAATCTGCCTCGGCTTCTCTTTTTCCGTGACTGACTGACTGAGGACAGGCTAAGGAACGTGCTTCTATCTACACTACCGACGGAGCGAAGCGGTCGCGGCGTTCCGTACGCGGCCGTTTGGGGCCGCCTGCCCAGCCCGCGGCGTTCGGGAGACACCGGTTGCAGACGCCGCCGAGCGCTCGCCTGAACCCCGGCGTCCGCACCAGCCTTCCTCAGGGCCGCGGCTTTCCGCCACCCACTGCCGGCCCGGCGACGAGACCCTGCGGAAGGCAGCGCGGTGACCGCACCCACTGAAGGCCAGGTGGCCGAGTTGACCCCACAAAGAGCGGGTGTGGGCCTAAGACTGCGTCCTCGGAGTGAGGGGGCGCCCGCCTACCTGCCCGCCTCGCCGCCCGCCGCGCCCGGTCACTCAGCCCTTCCTCACGCGCGGCCTCGGCGGGGGCCACCGGGTCCCCGCTGCTCCGCCAGGGACCAGGCCACCCGCGCCGCTCGCCGTCCGGATCCCAGCTCGGGTCCGCCCACCCACGACCACACTCGGAGGCCCCAGCGGCCGACCGTCCCTTCCCCCACCCTGGCCGCCGCGCCTTCCCCGACCCGCAACCGGCCAGCCCGGCCCCTCACCCAGAGACATATCGATTTTGTCGAGGTTTTCATTGCTGCGGGCTGGCGGCGGCGGCGGCGCGGTCGCTGTGGCTCCCACCAGCCGGGCACCGAACCGGTTCATGACTGGAGACGCAGCGCCGGAGCAGTCCGCCGGGAAGGCCGGAGTCAGAGGCCCGCCACCTCCCACTCACGCACGCAGACGAGCAGCTCTGAGGAGCGCGCACGCGCGCTGGCGGCGGCGTCGCCCTCCCACCCGCGGGTGCGGGCGGGGGAGAGGAGCTACCGAGACGAGCCTCGGGCCAGAGTGGCCCGCGTGGGGCTCGCTCCAACCGGCTTTACCTGTTCCAAGTCCGGCCCCAGTTAGGAGATGCTAGATCCGCAGCAGCTCCAAGGCACGGCGTCAAATGGTAGCCTGCCCCCGCCCCGTGTCCTTCGGGTCCCTCCTGCTGCAAAGCTCCCCTGGGTTTCGGCGCGCCGGTGCGGGAACCTTGCATACTCTGCATGCAGTGCAGCCTCGGGATGCAGGATCGACCCCTGCTAGCATAGGTTGCAGCCCTGAGTCCCAGCTCCCCTTCCCCTGACTCACTTTCCACCTGCACCATCCCGAGTTGCCATGTCCGAATGAAAAGGCTGCAGTGACAATTCTTGCGTCACCTTAACAATAAAAGTAAACAATAAAAGTAAAAGCTGACGTATCTGCATCACCTATCAATCGACACTCTGTAAACATTTGGCCGGTACTAGCTACCTTAATAAGACTTCATCTTCCCTTGGGAGGGTAAGTACATCTTATTTAGCTGCATTTTTCTCTCATTCAATTGCGTTGGGATGGGGGGATTTTGTTTTTCCTGGAATGGTCTTTATAGGAAAACTTCTTAATATTTGAATTCCTGCTTAATAATTTGTATCCCCTTTACAAAATATTTTCTTTATACCTCATTCACCTACAATGCACTTGTGTGGACGCATTTCTGTTATTTCATCTTCATAACAGCTTACAACCATCTCAGACGTTTTCATCTAAGGAAAACATGGTGTCAGATATTCTGCTTGTCTAGAAATCTCTTCCATCATTTTCTCCACTTCTTAAAATTTCTTTAGTATAGACAGGAGCCAGAGCTTTGTGGTAACCTACAGTATTTGAAAACCACAGTAACCTATATTTAATTTAGTAATGTCATGATGTCATGTGGATTCCAACTCCAACATCCATGACACATTTTACTATTTTTGCTTGGGGATTCCATGCCTTAAAATACCTCTTATCATTTGCAGTTTCATTTCTTAATAACTTATTTTCCTATTTTTATCAACCAAAGCCTACTTTTTTATCCATTCCAGTGATGACTGTAGTGATAATGATAGAGTTCTCTTAATAAAACTACATGGTAATACTTCCTGTATCCATTGTCATCCCTAGTTAACGGTTCCAGCCGAAGGCAGAGTCACGATTTTTTCATGTGTTTGATGGACTAGGGTAGTCTTATCTTGAGGAATATGTACTAGACTTTGGGAAATACAATAACTCCTTATTTTCGAAAGTCAAGTTGGCTTCCTTTCCCATGACCAAAATATAACCAGATAGGAAGAGTCAATTAGCAGAGCACATACCTACCAAGAAACTTTAATGGTAAAGGGACTGAACTCAAAAAGATCCAAGAATATATTAAGGCATGTCAAGCTTGATGTTCATAGCACAAAGTGTTGGATTTTATTACTCTACCCTGTGGCCTCCACCTTCTCTGAACTGCTGGCAACTAGGGAAACTAGACTGTAAAGAAAAAGGTTGGTGGGGCTAAAGAGATGGCTGCTCTTGCGGAGGACCAGGGTTCAATTCCCAGCACCCACATGGTGACTAACCATCCTGACTCCAGTTCCAGGGGACCCGACACCATCTTCCTGACGTCTACAGACATTGCATGACACAGGTACACTTAGACACATTATGGCAAAACACTCATACAGGTAAAATTAAAAAAAATAAAGAATGAGCCAGGCATGGTGGTGCATGCCTGTAGTCCTAGCACTTGGGAGGCAGAGGCAGGCAGATCTCTGTGAGTTTGAGGCCATCCTGGTCTACATAATGAGTTCCAGGACAGCTGGGGCTACAGGAAGATCCTATCTCAAAAGAAAAAAAAGAAAGAAAGAAAGAAAGAAAGAAAGAAAAAGAATCATTATCAGCCTGGTCTACATAGTGAGTTCCAGGCCAGCTGGGGCTAGGAAAGAAAGAAAGAAAGAAAGAAAGAAAGAAAGAAAGAAAGAAAAAACATTGATGAGAGGTAGGTTTGTTGAGTAGCACATACATCACTCCCTTCAGTCATTTGTCATACTATCTTTTGAAATTCTTTGGGCTTTATAGTCATCTTCAAAACAAGAAAGTAAGAGCTGGAGAGGTAGCTCAGCAGTTAAGAACACTGGCTGCTCTTGCAGAGGACCCAGGTTCAGTTCCCAGCACCCACTGGTGACTACCATCCATAATGCCAGTTCCAAGGGATCTGATACCCCCTTCTGACTTCCATGGGCACTGCATGACACAGGTGCACATGCTGGCAAGACACATAAAATAAAAATAATAAAATATTTTTAAAAACAAGAAAGTAGTGATACAAAGCACATAAGTTATCTTTATTTCTTTACAGTTTTGAAATCCTCTAAGCACAAGACATTTTTCTGCATATTAGTTCTCATTACCTATAACTTCAACTCCTACAATCTCTGCTCATATGTAGGAGTAAACTACAGAAAGGGATCAGAAGTTGTTTCTAATCATTTTTATTTTTGAGACACGGTCTGACTATGTAACCCTGACTGACCTAGAACTCACTAAGTAGACCAAGCTGACCTCAGACTCAGAGCTGCCTGCCTCTGCCTCCTGAGTGCTGGGGTTAAAGGCATGAGCCACCACATCTGCCTTGAAATTTTGTTTACATTTATTTATTTAGTGTATGTATATATGGGAAAGGGTACATGTAACATGTCTCTTGTGTTCTCTCCTTCCACTATGTGTGGATCAAACTTGGATCATCAGTCTTGGTATCAAGCACCCTTATCCACTGAGCCACCTCACCAGCCCATCTTATTTCTAATATTATGTAAGAACATGAATGTATTTAGATTTTTGGAAGCCTTATTTTATATAAATAAATGAATATGTTTATAGAGTTTGGAAGGGTTTTTTTTCCTTCAGGTATTTATAGGCTAGATAATAAATATCCCAATGTATAAAATCCTCGCTACCACCAATATAATAAATATTCCCATTTGTCCTGGTTCTTTCAAAACTGAAGCTTTATTCTAAATCTCTATAGAGCATGCCTCAGTAGTTCATCAAGCAATCCTTGCTGTATTTTAGAGTTTCAAGTTTCCCCAAGGGCTGAGGCCTCAAAGAATCTCCCAGATTCCATAGGGGAAAGCAAGGCTACAAACAGTAGAGCATTGTAGTAACAATAGATCAGTAGATAGATCACAGACAAAACAGATAAAATAGCAACCTAAGAAACATACAGTAAAATGAAGATGGAGACTAGCCAAAAAACCAGAGCCAGGACCTGACTGAGACATTGCTCAGACAGCTACAAAGGCCAGAATTAAAAGGTCAACCCTGCTGTTACATGAGATGCAGCTATTCAGTTAATCATATATTCATTGAACATTGTAATAGACTCAGGGTAAATGGTAAACATGGATGTAGGCCTTGCAAAGGAAAAGGTATTTTCTGAGCACCTGCACTGTGCTAGACATGGCATCTTTGCCTAGAGTAGAGAAGTTCAGAATCTTCATCCAAGTCCAAATAAACAGAATTTAAGCAGCCACCCTTTACTGAGGCTTGGCTTCATATGGTGTAGATAAGACAACATCTAGTCTGATGAGAGAAAACAAAGGGCCAATTGTGGATTTCAGGTAAATGGTGAACAATGATATGTCCCACATTCCAGATAAACAGTAATTTCTTTACTATAGTATATTACATGTCGTAATTAAGATTATATGTATATAATCTTATATAATATATAGTCTTTATATATAGATTATATATATATGTATATATAGTCTTTTTGAGACAGGCTCTCCCTGTAGCTCCAGCTGGCCTGGCCCTCGCTAAATAGACCAGGCTAGCCTCGATCTCACAGATCCGCTTACCTCTACCTCCTAAGTGCTGGGACTAAAGGCGTGTGGCACCCCACCCAGCTCATGTGTGCGTGTGTGTATACACCTATATATGTATAACTATATATTTGAGACAACATCTCAACATCTTCCTGTGTAGTCTAGGCTGGCCTCAAACTTGAAATTTCCCACTTCTGCCTCCAAAGTTCTGGTATTATAGGTATGACTTTCATGACTCACTAAAATACATTTATACAACCAATTATTCGGTTATTTAAAATTCAATTTTAAATAGGACTCTTAAATTTACTTGTGAAATCTGGCAACCCATCTGTCTCTATCTTTTTCTGTTGGGAATGGCAGTGTGCCTTTTTAATCTTAGCACTCAGTAGGCAAAGGTAGGCAAATCTCTGCGAGTTTGAAACCAACCTGGTCTACATAGCACATTCTAGGCCAGCCAGGGCTACTTAGTAAGACCCTGTCCCAAAACCAAACAAATAAACCAGAATATTAGGAGTTACAGGCAATTATGAGCTGCTTGATGTGGGTGTTAGAAATAACCCAGGTCCCCTGCAAGAGCAGTACACACTCATAACTGCTGAGCCATCTCTCCAGCTCCTATCCACTTTGTTTTTTGAGATAGTGTCTTTAACCAGGACATGGAGCTCGCTGATTAGGCCAGGCTGGCTGGTTAGCAAGCCCCAGGGATCCACCTGCCTTTTGTGCATCATCACATCTGGCTTTTTACATGGGCGCTGGGAATCAAACTGAGGTCTTCATGCTTGTGTGGTAAACACTTTACCCAACCCCTAAGTGCAACTTTCTCATACTCAGTTCCTTAACATTTTTTGTGTGTGTTTGATATGCCTTTTAGGACTCCCTTTTCTTGGTTTTATTGAGCTAAAATTAATAACTAATAAAAGACACTCATTTAAAGTGTAGTTTACATAGATGTGCAGAATGTAATAATATGTGTGAAACCATCATCTGAATAAGAACTATAGCCATCATTGGTAAAGGTTTCCTTGTGCTCTTTTGTAATTCTTCCCCTCACCTCCGCCTGCATAACCACTGATTTATTTTCTTTCACTGTGGATTAATTGGCATT